TATATATATATATATAATTGAAACTTTGAAGGTTGTTATTGGAAATATTTTGAGTGCTGTGTTTTTAGTTTTCATGTTTGACTAAGATGTGTCTTTGTGTGGATTTCTTTGGGTTTATCCTGTTTGCTGAGCTTGAATCTGTAGGTTTATGCCTTTTGCCAGATTTGGAGAATTTTCAGCCGTCATTTCTTTGCATACATTTTCAACCTCCACTCCCACTTTTCTCCTTCCAGGATGCTGATATAAATATTAGGTCGCTGCTTGTAATACCACAGGTTCCTGAGGCTCTGTTCCTTGTTTTTCAGTATATTTTTATCTTAATCTGCTCATGCTGTCATAAAAAAAATGCCATAGACTGGGTGATTCAAACAACAGAAATTTATTCCTCACAGTTATGGAGGCTGGAAGTCCAAGATTAAGGTGTTGGCTTTGATCTCTGGTGCTGGATCTCTTCCCAGTGTCCTTTCCTGCTGTGTCCTCACATGGCCTTTCCTTGATATATGCCTGTGGAAAGAGATCTCTCTTCCTTTTCTTTAAAGGCCACCAGTCCTATTAGATTAGGACCCCAGCCTTATGACCTCATTTAACCGTAATTACCTCTGAAAAGTCCTTTGTCCAGATACTGTCATGTTTGGAAGTAGCATTTGAATATGTGAATTTTGGGGGGACACAACTCATAGCATTTGCCCTTGTCCCCCAAATTGATGTTCTTCTCAATTGCAAAGTACATTCATTTCATCCCAACAACCCTCAAAGTCTTAACTTATTCCAGCATCAACTCTAAAGTCCAAATTCTCACCTACACATCTTATAAATCAGATGTGGGTGAGACTCAAGGTATTTTTCATCCTGAGGCAGATTCCTCTCCAGCTGTGAACCTATAAAACCAGACCAGTGGTGGGGCAGGCACAGAACAGATGTTCCGTTCCAAAGGGAGGACTAGGAAGGAAGGGCTAAATGGGTCCCAAACAAGCCCAAAACCTTGTGGGGCAAATTCCATCAGATCTTGATGCCTTACCTTCCAGACCCACCTTCACAACCCTCTGCTGCAGCAGTCCTGCCCCCTAAAGCTTCAGTTTGAGGCCATGTGGCCTGTCAACACGTCAGGGACATCCCCACCCTTTGGAACTGAGGAGGCAGCTTGATGACCTCTGAATCAATTCAGAATCATTCTCCCCTTTCCTTGCAGCATATGGCACATTTGCAGCTCTACTACCTGATCCTGTAGGATCTAAGAAGCCTGACAGCCTGCCTTCATCTTGTCTAGTGTTGTCTGTCCCCTTTAGTACCAGCTGGCAGTGTTTCTGCTGGTTTAATCCCATCTCTATTCCTGGCTTCTGCTGAGATGGCTGATTAAATTCATGAGTCACACCCATGGTCTCTTTATCAAATGGCCGTTCAGCCATAGCTGAACAAGCTTTCTCATTTTGCAATATGGATAGAATTTTCCAAATCTCCTAAGTTATTTTTCCTTTCTGATTACCTATTGTTTCTTCATCTCTCTCCTCTCACATTTTGCTATAAAGAGTGAGGTGGACCCAAGCTGCACCTTCAAACTTTGCCTAGAAATCTCTGCTGAATGTCCAGTTTTATTGCTCACAAGTTTTTCCTTCCACAAAACAGTGGAATACAGTTCAGCCAAGTCTGCTGCCACTTCACTAGGATTACCTTCTTTCTGTTTCCAGGAACGTGTCCTCATTTCTGTCTGAGACCTCATCAGAATGGTCCTTGACATCTGTATTTCTAGCATGCACCTCAAAACCCAGCCTCGACCCATTACCCAGTTCCAAAGCTACTTCCACATGTTTAGTTATTTGGTATAGCAGCACCCCAATCTGTCTTAGCCTGGTTGGGCTGTCATACCACAGACTGGGGGGGCTCAAACAACAGAGATGTATTTCTCACAGCTCTGGAGGCTGGAAGTCTGAGATCAAGGTCCCAGCTGATTTGGTTTTGGTGAGTCTGGCTTGCAAACAGCCACGCTCTTGCTGTGCCCTCACAGCCCTTCCTCAGTACATGTCTGTAGAAAAAGAGTGAACTCTCTTTTCTTAGAGGACACCAACCTATCAGATCAGGACTCCACAGTTATGACTCTCTTAATCTTAATTACTTTAGAAAAGCCCCATGTCTAAATACAGTCACATTGGGGGTTAGGGCTTCAATATACGAATTGGGGGAGGGGAGACAGAAGTCAGTCCATAGCAATTTCTTCTCTTTCTCATTGGATATTTTTTATTGTTCTTTCTCCAAGTTCACTGATTCTTCTGCCCCTTTCTGCTGGTGAGCCCATCATTGGGTTTCGTTGTATTTTTCAGTCCCATTTATTCTGTTTTTTTGCTGAGACTTTCTGTTTTTAAATTTGTGTCAAGTATATTTGTAATTGCTTACTGAAGCGTTTTTGTGGCGGTGGTTTTAATCTAACAGGTCATTCTCACATCGGGGTCATCTCAGTGCTGGCATTGGTGGATTGTCATTCAAGATGAGTGATTTTCGATTGAAATCTGGACATTTTGGGCATTATGTTAGGAAACTCTGTACCATTTAAGTCTTCTATTTGGGCTGCCCTCTGACAGTGCCCTGGTGGAGAAAGTGGTGTAAGTTGGTGATGGAAGTCCAGGTTCATCATTTACCTCTCTTTGCTCAGGGGTCATCAATACTGCTGGGCAAGAATGGGAGTTACAGCTCCCCACAAGGGCTCCACTGCTCCCCAGATGGCCTCCACTGACACCATGGGGTAGGGTTGGATGGGGAGTGACCGACCTCATGATTGTTAGTGAAAGTCGGACCCTCCACTAGGCCTCCACTGTCCAAACCAGTAAGGAAGAGAGTGATGTCTGGTCTCTGGGTAGGGTTAGAAGCCTGCTCTCCCCACGTGGTCTCCCCACATGGTCTGCACTGATACTGCTGGAGTGGAATGGGGGAGGGGTTGTTTTTGAAAATCCTGTCTCCTCACTTGACCTTCTCTGACTACTCCTGGGTGGGGGTGTAGGCACCCCACTTGGCCTTTGTTGGTATTACTAGAGCTGAAGTTTTCTCCCATGGTCTTTGGCTGGAGGAGGGTGGTTATGTCTAAAAATTTTGTCGTTTGAGTCTACTTTCCTAGTCCTTTGGCTGGAAAGAGAAGACTTTTCTTAGACCTTTTTTTTGGTCTGTGCCTGTGGCATTTTTGGGTTGCCAGCATCCTCAGAACCCAGCCTGGGATAGATGAGGCAAAAGGAAAACCCAAGGGACTCAGTGCTGTCATTCTTCAGGTTCCCTGGCGCCCAGCAGCTTAGATCCTCTCCACCTTTCAGAATCTTCTTACACTGTATATGTATATGGTGTCCAGGGTTTTAGCTGTACTTAGAGAAATAGAAAAGAGTACTCCTCCACCTTTTCCATGACATCCTTTTTGACACTGAAGTGACATGTCAAGTTGTGTCAGAGGTTGCGGCATACCTAGGTTGTTTGTAACCAGTCAGGATTAACTACCAAGGGTCATGCTCACCTGTTCTCCAGAGAGAAGCTGCCAAGTTGGTAGGTAGAAACTACCAGGCTGCAAGCTTCATCCAGCTTTGAAGAAACTATAGTTTTTAAATGGGGGAAACACCAGTGATTTTTTTTAAAATCCTCACCTGAGGATATGCTTATGGATTGTAGAGAGGGGAAGGAAAAGAGAAAGAAACATTGATGCGAGAGAGAACATTGATTGGGTGCCTTTCGTACATGACCTGACTGTGGGTTGAATCCACAACCTAGATATGTGCCCTGACGGGAATTGAACCCACAACCTTTTCGGTCTACCTGACAGTGCTCCAACCAACTGAGCCACACAGGCCAGGGCAGGTAGAGTTTAATTATAGATTACAAATTTGAGAAGGAAAGATAGATATGACTAAGAATGTAAACTATGGAATTAAACATTTTTATTTGTCTTTTTGTTCCAAAAGCATGTGGGAACCACTGGAGAACTGGATTCAGAATTTTGGTTTTGTAAATTATGTATTATCTATATTTAGACATCTGTCATTTTTAATTTGATATATAACACAGGACATCAGAGAACCAACAAAATAAAGAATAAAAATAATTGGGATTTGGGACAAATCACTTCACCCTTTTAAATCTGTTTCTTTTTTTTTCCATCCTCACTCAAGGATATTTTTTCCATTGCTTTTCAGAGAGTGGAAGGGAGAGAGAAAGGTAAAATAGAGAAATATCAGTGTGAGAGAGACACATCGACTGGTTGCCTCCCGCACATGCCCTACCAGGGCCAGCGATTGAGCCTGCAACCCAAGTACATGCTCTTGGCCAGAATCGAACCTGGGACCCTTCAGTCCACGAGCCGACGCTCTAACCATTGAGACAAACCAGCTAGGGCTAAATCTGTTTATGTTTTTTAAATGTGATACCTACTTGAGAGTATCTAGATTAGACAGATAATGAGTACGAAGTGATTTGTAAGGTATCAAGTGCTATATAACCATTATGTATTCT